TAAGTTTTGCTGCTATTTTTGTTTTTCAGCACCTGTCAGTTCCTTTTATTTTTTTGCTCAACAAGTTTTGCTGCTATTGGGGTGGAGGGCGTGACGGTTTATCAAAAAGGGGGGGTTATGCCAACAAGTTTGGGAACCACTAGTCTAGACCATCCCTGACAGGTGTCTGTCCAACCTGCTCTTAAATAACTCTAGGGATGGAGATTCCACAACCTCCCTAGGCAATTTATTCCAGTGTCTGACCACCCTGACAGGTAGGAAGTTTTTCGTAGTGTCCAACCTAAACCTCCCTGGCTGCAGTTTCAGCCCATTGCTTGTCTTGTACTCCGAGGCTAAGGAGAACAATTTCCCCCTCCTCTCCCTCGTAACACTCTTTTAGGTACTTGAAAACCACTATCACATCCTCTCAGTCTTCTTTTTTCCAAACTAAACAAACCCAGTTCTTTCAGTCTTCCCTCAAAACTCATGTTCTCTAGACCTTTCATCATTCTTGTTGCTCTTCTCTGGGCCTACTCCAATTTCTCCACATCTTTCTTGAAATGTGGTGCCCAGAACTGTGGTGCCCAGAACTGGACACAATACTCCAGCTGAGGCCTAATCAGTGCAGAGTAGAGCAGAAGAATGACTTCTCGTGTCTTGTTCACAATGCTCCTGCCAATGCATCCCAGAATCATGTTTGCTTTTTTTGCAACAGTGTCACACTGTTGACTCACATTTAGCCTGTGGTCCACTATTACCCCTAGATCCCTTTCTGCAGGACTCCTTCCTAGACAGTCACTTCCCATTCTGTGTGTGAGAAACGGATTGTTCCTTCTTAAGTGGAGCACTTTGCATTTGTCCTTATTAATCTTCATCTTATTTACCTCAGACCATTTCTCCAGTTTGTCCAGATCCTTTCAAATTATGACCCTATCCTCCAATGCACCTGCAACCCCTCCCCGCTTGGTATCATCTGGAAACTTAATCAGTGCACTCTCTATAGAAACAACCTCATCAGAACCACATCTCAGACTCCTAGCAGCTGCTTAGAGGCCGTGAGGGAGCCAAGGGGCTGTAAGAAACTCAGCTAGCTATAGGGGGAAGGGGAGGAATCGACTCCTCCTCACTGTGTTGGCAGAGAACAGTGGCTTTTAACCCACAGCCCCGTGCGGCCCACGTAGCACAACACACAGCTGGACGCCAGTTATAACAGCTACAGCATCAGGCTCTGGGCTGTTCTGCAACAGGGCAGGCTCCAAGGCCACGTCTGCTCTGCTGAGCAAACTCTGCATGATGGGACCTAGGATCCAAGCTGTCCAGCCCCTTCACTAGAGGCTCTGATTCTGGCCCTGTTCTCTAGAGAGGTCTCAGACAGGATTGCTGAGGGAGCAGGCAGGGGCTGCACTGTGGTTCTTAACCTGCAACCCATGGACCACGTATGCCGTCCACAAAAGTCTGCGGCCAGCAGAGTTTAGGACAGGCAGCAGTTTTGGTTTTTTAAAATATTAAGAACAAAAAGAATCCCGACCACAAACCTGACTGTTGTTAGTGGAATTATCAAAAGTAATGCAGAAAAGGCAGAATTGTTCAATAAATATTTGTTGTGTGTTTGGGGGGAAAACAGAGGATCTAGTCCCCTGCTATGGGATTATAACACTCTTCCCATCCCATTCGCATCTCTGGAAGATAATAAAGGGATAAACATGAGTGAAGTAACCACAATTATTGGAACAATTCTTGTTGGGGGAGAGAGCAACTTTTGAGCCACAAAGACAACCAAAAAGGGTCTCCCAGCAGAATGCCAGGTGGAACAGATTGTTTAGCAGAAGTAGTTGGCATACAGAATGGCCCATAACATGTCTGCAGTCAGGGGACAGAAAGAGGGGTTAGTGGGCTCTGTGGTAATAAGCCAGGCATGCAATGGGGATTTTAAAAAGAGGTCCAAAATAAGGGATGCAAATCACAGCTGTATGGGATGGGGAAATCACGGTCCTCATCACCCCAGCACAGCTCGTGTTGGCCCCATGAGGCACTGCGAAAACCTCCCCCAAACTCCCTGTGCCAGGTGATGGCGAGTTGCTTGCTAGGTACCTACTCTTCTGTGCATGGTACCCAGCTCTGTGTGGGTGCAAGCGCTGCTAGTAAGGACGCACGCTGCCAACACAAGAAGGGGAGAGGCCTTCACCTCTGTTCCTGCCGACAAGCGCAAGTCCCGACCCTGCTCCCTAGCAGAAGCGTGGGAGCCGGACTAAAGGGTCTGACAGGCCAGATGTGGCCCATAGGCCAAAGTTCGCCCCCTCTCTGCCTCAGAGTCATGAACTCTTATTTCATGGTCATTTTCATCCCCGGCT